GGATCTCTATGCGACTCCTTTTTCGATGTGTAACGATTCATCTGTGTAAACATCCTATGGAACAAGAGAAGCACCAGCTTGTTAGCTATTCCTATAATAAAACTTTGACTTTGACTTTGACTTTGATGGAAGCACAAATAAGAACCATTTTCCGTGAACAGAATTGGTCACATTAGGTCGGCAAAGTAATCAGTGGCTGTTTTGCTGCCTCAATCCGATTCAGTTTCTCGTAAATATCAATCAAAGTAAACGTGTCCGATGTTCGAATTCATTGAAGTATGCTTTGGCAAACCTGTTTTAGAAAACCTGAAGCTGCTGAATCATGTATATTGCGATGTGCTTCTGTTTCAAGTTCTTCAATCGTCGGATACCGCTCTCGGCGTGGAACATTTCCGTACTGGAGTCGATTTAGATCCGCTTGTTGCCGGTCCCGTTCAGTCGCACGGCGTCGTTCAGACGGTAAATCGATTTTTTTCACCCGGCTGACTCCGTTCGACACAATCGGCAGTCACTTCAACAATCGATTCGTCCGTGTAACGGAACGTGATATTCACGAGGACCTTTCTGGTCGGAAGTGCGGACAGATTCGGTAGAGTCAATTTGCCGACGAGCAAATTGTTACGCGCGATCCAACCATTTACTTCGTACACTTTGATTTCCATAACTGTCTGATTCTTGGAAACAGTGGTTGCCTAATGCAATCTTTCAGCAGGAACGGTCGTTTCACGTCCAATAATGGGCACCATCCGTCCGTCCGCGGATTCGACACCCAAATCCAACGGATTGCTATCCTTGACAATCAGGTGAGATAGTTGTTCCTCGCGTGATCGTGTCCAATTTTCCGCATGTTTCACGGCTCCCTGTACCACAGCTCGATCTGGATCTATCCGGTGTGTGATTCGTTCCTTGTCAAAGTGGTCGCACAGCAGGCTGAGAATTTTCGGTATTCGCGTAGAACCTCCAACAACCAATACTTTATAGATTTGCTCTTTCGTCATATTGTACTCCCGGAATAGTTCATCAATTAACTGTATGGTCCGAGCGAATAGATCTCGGTTTCAATGCTCAAACTCTGCAAGAGTGATTTCTTCACTCAGAGACGATGAGCCGAGAATTACGAGTGAACGCATCAAATCTGAGAGAGCATTATTTTGGCCTTCACACAACGTGACAAGAACTTGTATTTTGTGTTTGGGTCACTTGGTAATTATTTATTATGTTTGCGTTGGAATTTTTCGCGCATAAGTGATACAAGTCGTTGATCGAAATCCCGACCGCCAAGCGCCGTATCTCCCAGTGTATGTTTCACCTCGAAACCGTTGTCGGTCTTTACCACGATGGACACATCAAACGTGCCACCACCCAGATCATAGACCAGAATCATTTTCCCTTCGGGAACATAGGCGGCTCCAATATATGCGATCGCGGCCACGGTTGGCTTGTGAAGCAAAGTGCATTTGGGCAGGCCAGCTAACATGCACGCATCTCTGGTTGCCTTGTGTTGAGCGTTACCGAATCGTGCAGGGATCGTGACGACGGTGCTGACTACGGGTTGGTTCAATTGCCTCTCTTCCATCTCCTTCAGTCGTTTCAATATCAGAGAGAAAATTTGCACAGGTGTGTAATTGCGAGATTCGGTACCGTCAGAGACGGTGATTTGAATCTCATCATCCACTCCGGACAATTTGAAAGGCCAATCGGGGATCATACGTTGTACTTGGGAGTCGGAGAATACCCGACTAATCATTCGCTTACTGTCAAACACCATACAAGGCTCATTGAAATCCTCCAGGTTTCCGGCCACTGTACCAACGACATACGTATCTCCGGTAAATTTCNCCTTACTTTCCAAAAATTCACGACCCCTTTCGTGTGATATATGAACCATATTGCCATTGGCAACTGAAGCAGCTCCACTAAACGTCGTTCCTAAGTCAATTCCTAACGACACCATTGCACACAATCATCTAAAATATGCCAGGATTACCGGTTCACCTTTATTTTTTATATTACCCGTGCTCGATGAGTGAGGTGTAGTCATGCGTCTGGTGTAAACACGATCCAACCGGATTGATTCAGCTTGAGAACAGCANTTGTGCGTGGTACAACGTATGATTGCTGCCACATGATTGGTGTGTATCGATTGACGTTCAACTGTGAGCCAAGCGGCAAGGGCTGTCGCGGACACACATTGAGAAACGCGGTATTGGATTTTTTGGATGTGTGCGTGTGTGTGCAAAATTGCAAACACGCTGAGCCTCGAAAATTATTATAACGCGCTGACAATGGAATGAATGGCCCCTGGATACATTTGTGAATGTCATGGAAACTGGGCATGTGCTGTGACCAAATGGGAATGTGTTTAGATAACCCCTTCGTGAAATGCACCTATTTGTATCTCGAAAATAATGTTTTTGTACATCAGATTAAGTTTTGACAAATATGAGTTGGTCAAGTAGTTATCGGAAGAATACAGCGCGTAACTTCCGAGACCCCTTACTAGGTGTATCATCCGTGTTACGGACATAGCACGCACCCATTCATGAGCACGCATCATAGCAAGCAAGCAATTGAGTTGAATAATTGCAAAATTGACAATTGCAGCATCACGTACAATCGGGAATGCAATGAAGTTGGGGAATGGAGCACGAAAGGGTGCAGGTAGTCCCAAGGAACATACCAATACTCAAGTCTGGTTGGCTGAAGCAAATCGATTTAAGAATAGACTAAGTCAACATGAAGTGTACGTGTGTGCTGCGGGGGCAAGGGTAGGACTCAATATTGGCCAGGTGACCACTGAAGTCAAAGTAAGTGCAATCTAGTCAATAAAAGATTCACAGAGGATTTATGATGCCCTGCTTTTCAAAGAGTAATGGAGGAATTGATTTGGCCATACGACGAATTCGCCGCATAAATAAGTGAGGCGTGCGCTGAAAACTGGGAAGTAATACGGGACAGCTGTTTCAACCTTATTGAATGAATCTCATCAGCACTGCGTGAATCTATCGACCTAACTGAGGACCGAACCCGGGACCTCACAGGATGTGTACTACCCACTCGGTCACCGGTTGGCAGCTGATCGGATCTCTTCTCATTTTGAATATATGCAATATATTCTTTCTGACTTTGTTGACAGTACGTTTAGCATGATTCCCATAGATAGCACTACTCAAATCTGTAAACAACAACCTACCACTGAGGAATATCAGCGGTACGAATCCATGGACCGTTTTTCATACAACAACTAGTCAGGTTGTGAATGTTTCCAACGGAGTCAGCACCCTGGAAGGCTGGTGCTGAGATGAGCGAGGACTGATGCTCACAACAATCCTTAAAATCACTTATCTACCGAAATGAAACGGTAATTGAGGCTCGTCCTTTCGCCCGATGTGTCACGTCCAAGCCATAGAACGTGAGTGCCTAAAGGAACGACTATACTTTACATCGATCATCATTTTGAGATAATTTCGCTTCTCGTCCTAGTCTATGCGCGCAAGGGTACACACTAACTCAATTTTCAGTTTAGGTTTGTTCTAGGCCGTGGTCTTGAGAATCTCTTCCGACTTGCGTTGTTTCCCACTCGTCGGTCGTTGGATCAGTTTCGAAACACTTTCTGATCGAATAAAACCAAAGCCTGGCTGTTAGGAAGCACACTTGTGCTGTTCAGTTCACAGATTGATACTAAGACACGGAGGGGGCTTAGACGAAAAGATATGGGTGAAGAAGAGTAAACCAGGGAGGAGCTTGGAGAGGTAAGTGAATTTATCACTGTTGAACAATGAATGTGATTCAACCAGAACCACCCGCCATTACCTTGGTGAATATCAAGTTTCAGCACTAGATATTTTGTGCTCTCATGATCAGATAATTGAAACTGTCGAGTAGTGAACAGTGCCAATGAACAAAGAACACAACACTGCAAACGAGCTTGGTTTAATTTCAGAATTATATATTTTGCATCTCAACTGGTGCTTACTGCAGAATACAAATCAGTTTATATATCACAGGTGTTGATAAGCTAACGTGATATAAATTCACTCTTCCGCTTACGTGGTTACCAGGGCAATGCCAGACGGATGTAGATCATCTTTTGCTGACAAAGTAGGGGCTTTCGGCGCTTGATTTCTATGGCCTCTGCAAATCTCAGCAGCCGTCCATTTAAGATTGTGTACACAACCCGAAAAGAAGTCCCGCGGTCGACTTGGTGGCCAGTCTGCAGCAGATGGCGAGCAATTGAGGATTCAGGTGTTCTGTACGGCTTGCTTAGTGGGTTGGTTGTTTGTGTAGCCCTCAATCTGATCAGTTCGAATCATGCTGGTATATGCTCTGCCACTCGGGTGCACAGCTGCCTCTGTGTTCTACCCACGTAGGTGGCTCCACACCCACACTGAACTTCATAGATAACGTGTGATTTGGCGGACAGAGAGAGAGTGATGATTTCACCAAGGGCTTGGGAATCTGGGTTGTGGTGAAGCGAACGACCGGATTTGCAGCAAAATATGTGTCTTCATACAAGTTGACCCACATCGTCACCTTTGAACGGCAGTTGAATGATAATGTCGCATTTGTTGCTGCCACTTCCGAGGTCTTGGGTTCGGCTTGTACACTGAACCTTTGTATAAACCTCGCTGGGTAACCACTGCGCTTTAGAGTTTCCGTGAGCCAAATTAGCTCACTCTCCACATTATCCGGAGTACACATCCTCCTAGATCCATCAAACAGGGTACGCACAAGACCTCGTTTGTATTGGATCGGAGCAAGACTCCGGTTCACGTATATTTTCAATGCACGGACCTCGATATAATTCCGTCTGATCTTCGCCCAATAGCAATATTTATAAATGGAAGTGGGTTATTCTGCTCAGCTTCCACAGTGAATTGGATATATTTGTGAAGGGAATTCATTTCAGCCAAAAACTGTTCGGTCTCTCTGGCGCTTTGATTGATTATTAGCGTGTCATCTATGTATCTCTTGTAGAGTACAATGCCGTTTAATGTCCCACAGCTTTGTTTTCCAGACTAACCATGAATATGTAAGCCAGAATAGGACCCAAAGCGATGCACTCAGTCACGCCATCAGGTTGTCGAAATACCCGACCTAGAAAAGTGATTTGTACATCCGTTGTGATCGGTGCATGAATGGATGGATGGATGGATGGATGGATGGATGGATGGATGGATGGATGGATGGATGGATGGATGGATAAATTGTGTGTGTGAGGAATCATGACAACTGGGGAATAAAAGTAATCAACATCCGGTTCGATTTCTGAATGTAGCTCCTACTTGTGAAATCACAAATACGCATTGATTCGAAACATTAGGGACCGGTAAGGGATAAATGTCGAGTGTGATAGTGATCAGGGAATGCCGAGTGTTGTTACGAATTATGTTGCGGACAGATGGGGTGGGGTTTATATAGGAGGATTCCGATCGTTGCCGCTATGGCGAAGATGCGATTCCTCATCCCCTTAGATCGACATCTGTGAGCCAAGTAGAGATGTCGAAACGCCTCCACCAAATCAACCAAATGATTTGACTCCACTAAGTGTGAAACGATCGAATTTTTGATAGTCCTAATCAAACCACTTTTCAGCCGAGCGGGTGGTGCTCAAGGCCAATATAATTTATCCCCCAGGGACAGTTAATCACAGAAAGAGACTTCAGAAACAAACAATTAATTTCTGAGTTCAAAACGCAAGATTGACCTGGAGATGAACACAATGCAAAGTTTCGCTACGATAAGTGCTTTTACCACGGCTGTGCTCCATGACCGGCACCGCACAAGACGCGGTTAGCCCCCCTTCCCCTTCACTCAACCATAACGACCGGAATTAATACGTATTTTTGATGGCCAAAGTGTGAGCATCATCCGGTCATAGAACCAGAGTGTTTATAAATTTTCTTCCCAAGTCGTCATGATTTCTCGGCCCCCTCCACCGGTACTGATCATTTTTGACATAAATTGTGATGTACTAGCCTGCACATGAATCACCATGAACTTGAGCTTGCTCGCCACCGTGTGTTTTTCTTGAAGTTTGTCATGATAGTATATTCTGACAATGTTTAGCAAATGTAGAATATCGATTTAATGGTTACTGCAATCCGACTCTGGGTTGATCATTCGACAACTGCACAACGATCCCATACAACCAACTATCGTAAAACAGCCAAGTTGATCACAGTCACGTGAGTTCGAACCACAAAATCCAACGGAGTGATGGTAACCTATACTAAATGACCAACACTACTGATATATAAACGAGTTGACAGTCGTTCTGTAACTGGTCTTGACAATACTAGCGTTTACGACTGTTCACACTGAACCTATAGAGCTCTGTCTGACAGTTTCTGAACGCACAAGGGCGGATTGTTCTACCGAACTTCCGCCGCTTCGACATTTNTCGACATTTGACAGTAAGCGATACTTTGCACCTCGGGAATCGTGTCGATGGGAATATGATACGTAGTTCATTAGATTTCAGTGATCTGGAACAGGTGATTCACTAAAACGTAGAACATAATTTCCGCCCGACAGTTGGACAAACGAAAAACTGTCAACTGCAGGACCATATCCAAGCGGTATTCACAAGACAATGTTATCATTATTTTTACACCGCTTTGCACATCTGTCACTTGTTCTCCTTTGCGTTATGATACCGGTATTAAAACTCAATGTCTTTATCCACAGTGCTGAAATTGTTTTGATTGCCACTCCAGTTTGTCTCGGTCCCGAATCACTCATGCCGGTGAATCATTTAGCCTCTATTACAAATGTGTCATCGGCATCAGTTCCGGGTAGTGAACAGGTATCTGTATAACCGCAGAGCAAGTATTGCTTCCGTGTTCAACGAGATCCATTGATCCAACTATGATAAA